TACAAGTCAAGGAGCACCAGGCCACCAGAAGCTGGAAGAAGCAAGAAAGGATTTTCCCCAAGAGCCTTCAGAGGGAGCATGGCTCCTTCCAGAACTGTTAGAGAATAAATTTCTCTTGTTTTAAGCCACCTAGTTTGAAGTAATTTGTTGCAGCAGTCCTAGGAAATGACTACAGATCTTAAGGACAGAACTCTTACCTGATAACTGAATCTCTTCTGTGACGTCCTACCAAGGGCAGTCCACGTATTCCATAATGGGGCACTCACTATCTCCTCTTACAAATTACTACTATACCAATCCTGGTAATTATGATAGCTAATGTTTATTTAATAGCTACAACAATGGACTCAAACATACCAAAGATCGTGAAGACGGCACAGGGCTGGGCAACATTTTGTTCTGTTATACGTAATGTTGCCATGAGTTGGAACTGACTCAATGTTTCTTGAGAACATACGACGTGCTTTGCATATTTTGACACATGTAATCCTCCCCAATAACCCCTTGAGGTGGGTGCCACTATTCCCATTTTATAGATGAAAAACTGAGGCACAGAGAGGTCAAGTCTTTTGCCTAGGTCAAAACCCTAACATATGTTGGGGCCAGGATTCTAACTCCAGATCTGACCTCTTAAGTCTTTTAAGTACACTGAGACGTTATCTCTAAAGGTGTGGATTCTCCAACTTTGCTGACCACTTACATCACCTGGGTTTTTTGTGTTGCTTTTTTGTTAAATACGGATGCCTGCCTCCTACTTCCAGAGACTTGAATTTCACTAGTATGGGCTTTGGCCAGGGGACTGTGGTTTCTAAAACTCCTCAGCAAACTCTGAGACCCACTGTCCTATATGAAGAGCCCTGGTGGCACAGTGGTTAAGCTGCTAACCGAAAGGTCAGCAATTTGAACCCATCAGCTGCTCCGTGGGAGAAAGATGTTTGGCAGTATACTTCCATGAAGATTTACAGCCTTAAAACCCTCTGGGGCAGTTCTATTCTGTCACAGAGGGTCGCTATGAGTTGGAATCAACTCAATGGCAACGGTTTTGGTTTGGTTTTCATCTATTTGATTCCACCTCTCTCCACTTGGGGGCAATACGAGCAAGTCCACTCCCTCTTTCCAGATGCCAACCCACCTTGAACATGAAGACCACCCTCACAGCCCTCTGCGTCCCTCTTCTCCAGGCTCCTTGTTCCCTGAGGAAGCCTGTATGAAGCAGGAGCTAGTGCTGCTGCCCCAAAGAACTCTTAAATCACAGTGGACATGTGCCTCAGTTTTGGAGACACCATAGCTATAAGTTAGAGTCTGGACACAGGGGGAGACCCAGTAACCGACCCATTTTCACATCCTCTCTCCATGTGGTTTTCCTTATAGTTCTAGTCAAGTCAAGGCTCATCTGAAAAGGAATGTTTCAGGGAGAACTCTCTTCTCAACCCCCCCACCGAGCAGGACCAGCTACACAATCATGGCCCGTCAAATGGGAAGGCAAGTCAGCTACAGATGGAAGGTGGGAGGGGGCAAGGGGTCAGTTACATGTAGGCAGGGAAAGTGGGTGAGGTGAGGTGCTTCCTGGCATTTCCCTCTGCCCAGAGTGGATGAGGCTGGGGGTGTTGCTCTCGGCTCTGGGTGTACACGGGGGTCCATGGCCACACCACCCAAAACACACCAGGAAATGGAAGGAGAAGCGACGTGAGCTGACCTGCCCCAGCAGAGGATGACAGACCTCTCTTGCTGCCTGCCTCCCTTCCTCACACTCCTTCTTCCTCTCGTCTCTCGACATGTATTTTTTTGAGCACCTCTCCTATGCTAAGGACTGAACATACATCAGGGAACAAGCTAGACATAATCCATTTCTTTAGGAACCTTGGGGTGGGGAGAGGGGCAGATGAGATGTCCCCAACCTGAGCTATCCCACTGAACATGGGTGGGGGAAGACAAGGCGACAGCCAAGATGGTCACATATTAAAGGTCATTTCCCTGCTGGAATACTGTACCTGGTTACCCTCTGTCATGGACTGGATTATGTCCCCCCAAAAATGTGTGTATCAACTTGGCTAGGTCATGATTCCTAGTATTATATGATTGTGTAATCTGATGTGATGTGTTGTAAACTCTATCACTATGATGAGGTTATAGTGATGAGGTATACAAGATTGGAGAGTGTCTTAATCCAATCTCTTTCGAGATATAAAAGAGAGAAGCGAGCAGAGACATATGGGAACCTCATACCACCAAGAAAGCAGTGCCGGGAGCACAGCGTGTCCTTTGGACCTAAGGTTCCTGCGTAGAGAAGCTCCCAGACCAGGGGAAGATTGATGACATGGACCTTCCTCTGGAGCCAATGGAGAAAGTGTTCCCCTGGAGCTGATGCCCTAAATTTGGACTTGTATGTAGCCTACTAGACTGTGAGAGAATAAACTTTTTGTTAAAGCCATCCACTTGTGCTATCTCTGTTAGAGCAGCCCTGGATGACTAAGACATCCTCGCCGACATACTTTTGGTACAAAGTAAACATGGGAAAGGCAAGGTTAAGACTCAGGCACAAATTAAAAACGCAGTGCCCGCCGTCTCCCCAAAAGCCTTATGTCTTCCCTGGATCTCCCTTGGGGTGAGCATCTCCTGCTGGTTCTCCTCGGGAAATGCACTCATGAAAGGAAAGACAAAATTGAAAATCAAAATGAAAAATGTCCGCCCGCTGGACTGAGCTCCTGTCACCTGGCTTTGGCAGACACCAGAGGCCCCAATCCTGATGAACCAGGGAACACCTACCGACCTTAGATGGGGCTAGTGGGGCCAGAGGAAAACGCCTATGCAGTCTCAGCAGCCACTGCTCTAGAAGGGTCCCAGGCCTATTTGTTTACCCATCCAATATTAGGCACTCAAAAACACTACTGGAGATACTGTTAATGAAGACAGAGTAAACAAATTTAAAATTGATTTGAATCATATCACAATTTATAGACACCCAAACTAAATACTCTCTTGAAAATGAATGTTTTATGACTCTGTATTAAATGTTCTGCCCAGCTGATTCAGAAGTAGACTTTTAAATTTATGTCTGATGCATTTACAGACATAAATTGCACCTGCAAAATATATATAAAGCGTTGTGGGATTTTTTGTGTGTGTGTATAAGCAGGTTCACAAAAATGATGTCATACTATAGATAACATTCTTCAATCTGATTTTTTTTTTATTCTTAATATATCTTGGAGGTTCTCCCATAGGAGAACACATTAGATCTAGAACCTTTTTTAAACTACTGAAAAATATCTCCTAGAGTGGTGAGACTATTGTTCTAGCAATTCCCTCTGTGGTGGACAGTGAGGATCAGGATGTCTTCTCAGAAGTTCTGCATAAACGAAAAATAATTCTACAATCACACTGAAGGGACCCTTTGTAGCCACGTGAATCACAGGAAATGGTGCTGAGTCTCAGAGAAATGAAAAACATTTCAAACTGTAGGAAACAGCAACAAGACATCTCATAAGCAAATTCTGTCCCTTTAAACACAAGTAATTTAGAGTCACGTTTTGCCCCTTCAGCAAAGATGCCGAAGAGAAGCTTACCACAGCATGAGGAAATAGACGCAGCTTAGCCTAAACTCAGGGACGTTTCTTCTCCTCCGATCACACCAGTGTTGCCTGGGTCAGCACTGAAGTCTGGAAACCCTCACAGAAAAGTGATGCCGCTGGTTCATTTTCATTGATTTTCCAATTTTGGTAAAATTGTGTTTATCTTTTTTGGGGGCTGTTTGTGTATTGTGGCTAGAAATGCTTAATTCATTTCCCATACTTATATATGTATTACAGCTTAGCAAAAGCCCAAATGAAAACATCATGAACTTGAAACACATTTGCCCCCAAAATAAACTTAAAATATAAATTATCTATTATGTTTTTGCTTTGGTTAGTAAATAGAAACTTAAGAAACATTTTCTATTAGTAAAAACAGACACATATATAGAGAAATTAAGGCATTTCATCTTTCCCCTGTAAGAACTTGCAAGTACTTTTGGGGAGGATTAGGGGTTACAGGAAGCTGGTGTGTGTGTGTGTGTGTGTGTGTGTGTGTGTGTGTACACACTGCTGCACAGATGTGCTGGGTGGGAGCAAAGAGAGAGTTGGAAAGCCATTACTTGCTTCCAAGGAAAAAGATAATATGGCAGCCATAAAAATGGAGTGTTGGGAGGACAATGGGAGACGAAAATGAAGGAACAAGATTCAATGCTTTTCCTTTCTACTTTCCTATTTTTAACTAGAAACAATTAAATTTCCCAAGTGACAACTACAGTTGCCATACAAATTTCATTCTCTTTCCCTTGCGATAATTTCCCATTTCTAGCTACTGTCTCCCTTTTCAAGTGAAAATCTCAGTGCCATTTCCAACTCGTTCTTGCCTTTATCCTCTGTGCCAGTCAACCCATAATTAAGATTTTTCGGAGAGCCAGGAACTGTGCCAGGTAGTGGAAATACAAACATGCATATCATCACAGTCCTTGTTCTCAAGAAATTTACAATCTAGACCAGCATTGCCAGATAGAACTTTCCATGGTGATGGTAATGTTCTATATCTGAGCTGCCCAATACAATTGCCATTAGCCAGTTGTGGTTACTGAGCACTTAAAATGTGGTTAGTGAGACCAAGGAACTGATTTTTAAATCCTGCTTTCCTTCCCACCCACTCCTCCTCTTTCTGGCAGAAAGACAGGGGAAGAGCAGTAGAAACTAGAATCACAAGGGCTTGAAGAATAAGTGAGGAAACAGAGGCATCAAGTTGAATGCATACAAGTAATTTCAAATGATATAGTCTTTTGTAGTCTGTACTTTTTTGGTTCACATACTGTTCCATTTCCCTTCATAGTTTTCCCTACCCAACCATCTGCAAATATCACATTTCCACCTTTATAATCTAAAGCGCATTGATTCAGGACCTGAGTCTTCGCTTGTCTGTGTACCACGTTCTATTCCTGTGAAAGAGAAAATGTATTCCTTTCAGCTCACCTCCCGGTCCAGCAGCGCAGGTGACACAACGGTGACAATGTCTCCTTTCTCAGGATCGATGTAGAACATGTTGGGTGACGGCTTGTCAGGCGTCTGCTGACGGATATTATACCGCAGGAGGGCATTGTCAGTGGCAGGGTCATCTGCGTCAAAGGCTGTCATCCGCATCACCGTGGTCCCTAAGGGGGCAGAATGGAAGGGCAGGAGATGGTTACCAGTCACCGTGGGTGACACTGACGGTTAGGGCCCTTCCCCCACTGGGCAGTAGCAGTGGAGTAATGTGTCAATCACTTTCCAAATTAAAATGGGAAAGTATTTCCCTAGCTGCGCTATGCTTTAGCTTTTCTTTTGCCATTCCATCACATTAAAAGACCTGAAATAAAGAAGAGGAATCTCTGCTGTTCAGCAGAGTGACAGCTTAATTTTTCCTTGTGCCGATACACTGATTTTCATGGGCTTTCATTCCAGGGTGGATTGACTTTGTGACAGTGACTGCCTTCATTTTAACAGTGTTTACTGGATGCCTACTATGTGTGGGGTCCTGGGCCAGGTTGGGGAAATAGAGGTGCATAAAGGCACATTTCTGGTGTCTGGGAGTTCAGAGATTAATAGGAGAGATGGACATATATATCTGTGCATATGTATATCCGAAGAGCATATGACATCAAAAGCACAAGCAACAAAAGACAAAACAGATACAATGAACTTCAGCAAAATGAAAAACTTTTGTGCATCAAAAGACTTTATCAAGAAAGTTAAGATATAACCTACAGAATGGGAGGAGATATTTGATAAACATATAGCTGATAAGGGCCTACTATTCATAATATATAAAGAATTCCTACAACTCAACAACAAAAAGACCAAAAGTCCAATTTAAAAATGGGCAAAAGACTTGAATAGACATTTCTCCAAAGATGATATGTAAATACCCAATAACTACATGAAAAGATGCCCAACATCATTAATCACTAGAGAAATGCAAATCAAAACCACAATGAGATACTACCAGGATGGCTATTATCAGAAAAACGAAAAATGACAAGTATTTCGAGAATGTAGAGAATTTGGAACTCTAGTCCATTGCTGGTAGGAATAAAAAATGGTGCAGGCACTGTGGAAAACAGTTTCATGGTCCCTCAAAAAGTTAAAGACATAATTACCATATGACTCAGTGATTCCACTCCTAAATATATACCCAAAAGAATTGGAAGCAGGGACTCAAATAGATACATGTATACCAATGTTCACTGCAGCATTATTCACAATAAAGAAAAGTTGGAAGCAAACCAAGTGTCCATCAACAGATGAACTGATAAACAAATTGTGGTATAATCATACAATGGAATTTTACTCAGCCATAAAGAAAGACAATGTTCTGATACGTGTTACAACATGGATGACCTTTGAAAACACTATGCTGAGTGAAATAAGTCACCCACAAAAAGACAAATATTGTATGGTCCACCAGATACGAAATATTGAGAACAGGCAAATGCAGAAATAAAAAAGTTTGTTGGTGCTTACCAAGGGCTTGGGGGAGGGGGCAGTACAGAATTATTGCTTAAGGGATACTGAGTTTCTGTTTGGGGTGATGAAAAACTTTTAGAAATGAATAGTGGTGATATTTGCACAACAAGGTGAATGTAATTAATGTCACTTAATTGTACACTTAAAACTGGTTAAAACAGCAAATGTACTGGTATATATACGTTTTATGAAAACAAAATTTTAAAAAAGAACGTAAACATAATTACCAATGGAAACATGCTCTAGAGAAGAATCAGGTAATTTGCCTGCTGGTCTTGACAACTGGGTGGCCATCGTAATGAACTCATGGTGACCTGAACCAACTATAATCTTTCATCACAGCTTACTCTTCTATGAAATAGAGCACCACCTTCTGCTTCTGAACCCTTCTGAACCCACAAAATGTGACCTGCATGGTAACAGATCACCACAATAGGAATTAGATTATCAGCCATTAGGCCTGATTGGTCAGACAAATAAGGGGGATGTGGCCACCATAAAGTTGGATCAATTTATTAAGTACTCTCAATTAATTTCACCAATGTTGCCATTCAGCCAAATGCTTCAAGACATCTTTTCTTTTTTACCTTGTTGTAGTGCCCTGTAAACTATCACAGGGTATGATTCAGGGTCTGATGTAAGAATAGAACATTCTTGGTCCACGTAGTCCCACTACATTGTCCCATGTCTTGGGAAGATATCACCATACAATATGGCACTCTTTTTCCTGTTGAGCCATACTATGGAGTCAGGGCTCCTTTTCAATCCAGAGGTGTAGGCAGTCACTTCCAATCCACTGGAGTTGGTGTGAAATGTGACACTTATTTGCCTTCCTGATCTAGGAAAACAGGTCAACTTGAGGATCTCGATCAGAAATCAGAGGCATCTTTCAAGCTGATGATCTCACCCAGGGATGGGCTAAATGAGCCCATGTGGCCAGAGATACAGAAGGATGCCCCGACTCCATCATTTCCGTACCAAACAGCCTCGGGTTAAGTGTACGTGGCCCAGTACCTTCAACTTAGTTGGTGTCTAATGAATGTTTGATTGATTGAATATGTGCCCTATTTAATCCACCTTTCATTGATGTCGAAGGTTCCTGGGTGACACAAATGGTTTGCTCTCGGCAGTAAGTGAGAGGTTGGCGGTTTGAGAGCACCCAGTGACACGACAGAAGAAAGGACTGGCAATCTGCTTCTGTAAAGATTAAAGCCAAGAAACTCCTGTGAAGCTCAGTTCTACTCTGTAACACATGGGGTCACCAGGAGTCAGAATCAACTCAATGGTGATAGGTTTTTGATTTCATTCAAGTCATGTCATAGATTAACAAGAAAAAGAAGGTAAAAAAAATTAAGTATGGCTTGTGACTGCCATATGTGTTGAAATGATTAGAGAGACAAAAAAGAAAAAAGTTTTCAGGTTGATGAATTTCCAGTTTTCACCAGTAAATTCATTGAGAATATCTTTTTTGTTTCCACAGATTTAATAGAATGATATAACAGTAGGATATCTTGGAATATTTTCAAGGTTACACAGAAATTGGTTTTTTGCACAATTGTTAGGGATCAAGTGAACTGGGTCCTAAGCCCACCTGTGTCTTGACCCAGATGTTCGTAACTGGATGTACTTCTGACGGCCACCTCTACGGAGAGTGAAGAATGTCGAAGTCACGTAAATGTATTTGCACATTCAAGAATATGAACTCTGGAGTGACATGTCTGGGTTCGAGTCCTTAGTAGCTGTGGGGTCTTGGGCAAGTTACTCAACATTCTCCAAGCCTTGATTTCCTCATTTGCAACATGGGGGTATTAATAAACCTTCCTTACTATTGATGGTGAGGTTTTAATTGGAAAATATATTTAAAGAACTTGGTACAGTGCCTGGAACATCAGTGTTCCGAGAAGGATGTCACGATTATCATCAAATCTTGCCCCAGGTTCTGAGCTAATCATGGCAGCACAGACAACATCCTCAGACAAAGTATCTTAGAATTCAGTTTCCCCAAGAAACTGGCAATTGGTATGGATGGATGAATATCTGTGCTCATCATCTCAGAGTTATCTGCCTCACCCTGTCCCTTCCACATTTTCCATGGTCTTCGTTTACAGATTTGGGTTTCTACTATGGAGATCACAACTCTAACACACACACACACACACACACACACACACAGTGTAATCTACTGTTTCTCCTTGTGGTACTCTAGTTTCCCTCTAGGAATAAACCCAATTCTGAATCCTACTTCATCTGCTGGTCCCAATACCCCGCTTAGCTCCTGCTGCCCACTCCACTGGGGCTGGATCACAGTTCTCATACTCCCAAATATTGAAAAAGATTCTGCAATGGCCAGATAAACCTACAATTTCCTAAATTGTATCCAAGGAACTCTGGTTCCAGGGGCTCAGGAGAAAAACACATTTGCAAAATATGCATTTAAGCAGGTTTCCCTGGAGGATTCCTCAGCACCTTTAATAAGAAATGCATATGGTCAATCTCCAGGAGAGAGTAGAATCTGCAGTGTTTCCCCAACTTCTCTGCTGATGGAATCTCATATTTAAAGAATATCCGTACATGATGGGCTACATGGTCCTAAATTTTGAGCTCTTGGGGGATACAGATTGCATTTTGTTCATCTTTGTAAGCTCAGTACCTGACACACAGCAGTTTGTCCTCAGTCAATGTGCTTTGAGTTGACTTGCATTCTTGAAATCCACTGTAGCTTAGCCTCATTCCACAATGACCAGAACTCATCAGTAACCTGCCTACATAGAAGAGTGGACAACATTGTCTTTACACATTTCTCAAGCAGGCATGCTTTGCTATCACCTCTAAACTCCTTGTTTGTTCCCCCTTGGAGGTCCTTGTTGGAACTGGACTCAGCAGTAATATATCAACCTCAAGCCGAGTACAGCTGCTTCAATCACTTATGGTGGTACCTGTGCCTTATCCCTTGCTGTCTGAATTTCTTAGTGCTGCTGTAACAGAAATACCACAAGTGGGTGGCTTTAACAAACAGAAGTTTATTTTCTCACAATTTAGGAGGCACCGGCTCTAAGAGAAGGCACTCTCTGTCTGCTCTGGGGGAAATCTTTGTCTCAGCTTCTCTAGCGTTCTTCTCTGTGTTCCTTGGAGATCTCCACGTGGCATCTACCTTTCCCTCATCTGTGCTTGCTTCTCAGTGCTGAATCTGCTCCTTTTATATCTCAAAAGTGCGTAGGTTTAAAACACACCATACATTGATATGGCCTCATTAACATAAGAAAGAAAACCCTATTCCCAGATGGGATTCCATCCACAGGTATGGATTTACAACACATATTTGTGGGGGCACAATTCAGTCCATAACACTTGCCCAAGCCCACAGCCCGGACTCCGAGAAGAAGGACTCGTTTGTTTCCATCAGCCCCTGTGACTCCCATCCATGTTTGTCTCGGGCCTCTGCCTGGATCCCTGATAGCGAAGAAACAATAATTGCACGATAGACCTGGGTGTGGATCCTCACATAGTACGTTTCTGTCTTCTCCCCCACCACAACAGTCTCCTGGGTGTCAAAATAAACAATAATCACCCTGTCAATCCCAGAGCCAGATGAATTAGCAGCGGCCCCTCAAAAGCAAAATAAAAGAATTATAAGTTGCTGTTTGAAAGT